GTAAAAGAGTAATGGCAAAGCTTAGACAGGGTTTTTGCACAAGAGAATTAATATAAATGGGGCTTTTAGACATAGCGGAGAAATCCTAATATTTTATCATATACTGTGCTGGTGAGAGGAATCTATAAGAGATTATAAAATTGTACAGTAAGATTAACGTTCAGCTCAAAGACAAGAGGGAAGAATGCATATACAAGAGAAACAGAAATAATGAAAAAAGAATGAGATTTAGGACATGTAACGACCAGAATGGGGGAACCACTGTGGTTACTAGAAAATGATGCCAAAAAACAGAAATAGGATAAAAAAAAAAGAGGGGAGAATCAAATTTAAGGTGCTATTTTTTCAGCCTCCACACATTAGTCATAAGCCCTGAAAAGCAGTTCCATAGCAGAATATAGGTTCAGCACTACGAGCCTTTGCAAAGTTCTCCAGTTCCTACAAGGTCATGGCCAGAACTCCAGTGAACTGACACTACTGAGGGCACAGTTTCCCAGCTTATTTATGTCAAAGACATCAGCACAAATAATTCTACTGAGGTTTAGACAGAACTATTTGAAAGTGAGGTGCTAATCAAAATTAATTGAAGGTATTATAAACTGGTCCAGATAGTTTTGTCTGAATCTTCATTACAAGACTGACCACTTTGCTACTGCTCCACAGCTAGGCATGATTTGCAAAAATAGAGCTTAGTCTGTGATTGCATGACTTGCTACAACCCTCCTTCTTAGGCATTTGGAAAAAGGAAAGCACAGGCTATTAACATATCTAGAATGAGTCAGCAATGAGAACATTTGAGACTAGGTGTGAAGGATCAGGAGGACTTGCACTGGCTAACATTAGGTGTGGTTGCTGTAAATCATAAGGCTCTTTACAAATGGCAAGGTGCATTCCCTCTCTAGAAATTTAACAGGCATTTCCCTTTGGCTCTTATTGTAGCACGTGCCTCCTGATATACAACACTTTCTTCCAGGAGACTCAGTATTGTCCGAATTATGCAATTATTGGATCTGTGAAGGTACCTGCTATGTTCCTCTGCGGACTAGGAAACAAACATGAATCATTCACTCCTGGAGAGGAGATTTCACTCTTTGTAATAGAAGCGAACAGAACATGACAACTCTGTTACACAACAACTTCTGAGGTATCAAAATCTGCTTTCATTCCAAATTTGAAGGAAATACAGTCTTTTAAATAGTTGTGAGATTGTGCTGAAATGTCCATTTAGGGGTTGAAAAGGCTAGGATAATGAATCAGATCGCTCCCTCTTTTACTCTTATCAGCCGTGACCAGAAGCACTTGAATCCCTTAAACTATCCTGTTCAACAGATGTCGCTATCAACTATTCAGCATTCAGTGCAAATCTGCACTGCATTGAGGAAAAAATTACTTGACCATGTTTCTACTAGCAGTAATTTTGAGATTCAGGATGAGGTAAAGGAGTGGAAATTTCCCTTTCCTACAGATTAATATTAATAAAACTACTGAAAAGTAATGCCTTTTTAAACAGATTAACTTACAGAATTAATTATATATAGATACATATATATATGATGTTTATATCAGAATTTTTGCTTGTATTTTTCCCACAAAAATCCCTTATGAATCAATGGTTTGGAAACATATCAAATCACATTCCTGCAGATCGTAAGCAAGGATATGAGTGGTTTTATGTCTTAAGCCCGAATTCTGCTGCTTAATTACTTATTTATAATTCACACAGAAGTTCACTGTCTGCATACTGCACTTAAAAAGCTAATGAATTACTATGCATTCAAATAGCCATGCTTAATGTCTATCTATAGCGAGTCAAAGGTGGAGGAAAAATGTAATGGGGAGAAGACCTGCTTTACTATAATGTCTCCCAACTCATCATATGCTACTTGGACATGGGCCAGGACCCAACCGCTATTTTGCAACTATAAGCAAAGATTTGCTTGTTTGGGCCAAATGGGCTTAAGTCCCAGCTACAGCTTCCTAAGTACATCCAGCATGTGGGGGTTCTGAAACTGGTATGGCAAAGCTGCACTGAGCAACTGGATCATGCACAATTATGGCAACCGATAAAATGCTATAATATTGCCGTGAAAAACAACGTCAATAGCAGAGCCATTTAACGTCCTTGAGGAAGAGGACCATAAATATTACAGAGTCTTTGTTAAAGGCCTAAGTCTACTTCAGCTGTCATTTGCAGTAATTTTTTCATTGACTTCAGTGGCAGGAGGGTTAAATTAATATTGAGTGTTTCTGAAAATCTGGCTTTGGATCGAGACTCCTAGATCTAATTTTAACTCTATTTGCTATGTGACTGGTGCCAATTACTTCATTTCAATGTTTTTGCTACCTTAATGCTGGCAAATTACTTTGGATGTACTGAAAGTTTTCAGACCAGTTGAACACATTTAACTCGTTCTCAGATCATCTGCAGCAGTTAAGTGGAATGACAACCAGGAAAAATGTTTGTACCATCTGACTACTTGCAAGCAGAATATTCTGCATTTTGTCAAAGAAGCTATTTTTACTTTTAGTATTTAAAAATATGCTGAAGCAGTTAAACAAATGGGAGGCAAAATCTTTCCAGGCTCTCTACATCCTACGAGACAGTGAAGGGGGGTGGGGGGTGGGGTGTACTTTCTGAATATTGCTGGCTAATTTCTAAACTTACCTAGTTTCATAACTTTAAGAATAGAATTTTGCCTGTCCTGTACTGCCAAAAATAAATTTGCAATGTTCCTTCTTGACCAATGTATAAGAAACAAAGGTTCTGTGGTTGGTCTTTCTTTGAATTACTGCATCAACATACTCTTCAATGTGAAAGACACAGTAAGTTAAACTTATGTGCTAATGACATAAGATTTCCTTAGCTGGTATCTTCTCAAAACAAAAGTTGAAGTATGCCTTTTTAGTAAAGTTTAGAGATAAAAAAATGTATATCAAGGCAAAGATTCCCATTGTGATTTGAGAGCGTACCAAATAAAATGCAACTGAATGACTCGAGTTCCTAGATCCCAATTTAAAATGTGGTTTAGGCAGTCTTGGGCACATCTAAAAGGGATGCTGAAACAGTGAAACAGGAATATCATAGGTACAGAAAGGATTCTAACCGGTATTCATGGGAACCACAGAGCTGATGATTCTGGGCTATGTTTTGCTAGGCTAGAATAAATTAATCCCATCTTCTTCCTACTATTGTCACATAATTTAGCCGTAATATGTTCTGATGCTTCTTAACAGTATATTATACAGCCGATGGCTTATGTGACACGGTGTTGTAAATAAAATGATGCTGCGAAGGACCGCTCAAAATTTCTTTTGCATAAGCTCACAAAACAGTGTGGCACCTGCAGTTTAATCTCTACATCAGGGAAATGTGAAATAAGAAAATATAAAAATTGCTTTGTTTCCATCTCTGAGATATTTCTCAGTTGGAAGTTTTTGCACGTTCTTGGTTTCATTTTTATTTATTTTAACTCATTACCAATAGGGCAGTGGATGATAAAACAATTGTTTTAACAGAATATAGGTACAGGATGGATCTGAGTCCCCATGCTGGCATTTTTAAAAAATTCAAAAGTACCAATTTTGGGGAAAACACAGCTATTTATTAGAAAGATTCCGTTAAAACATATTTGGTTTGGCACTTGGAAATCATGAAGACTTTAGGCTATTTGTGCTTCCCTGACGTGTATAGCAAAGGGATGAGGTAAAAATCAAATCCAATTTCCAGAGTGACAGAAAAGGTAGCCAAGTCTGCAAGCATCCGATCACTGCAAGTGAATCTGGACCCTCTCTAGTAAAAAAGCTAATTTACTTACCTCTTCATTCTTAAAAGATTCCCCAGTGGCATAGACATCTTTAAACCTTCTTAAGAAAGAATTACCTCACAGATCTTCATTAATCTCAAAGTTTGACATCTTAAAACCATTCCCAAAACTCTACAGTGAATACTGGGTAGAGGATAAAGTTTGGTGTCTTCATTTACTGAATTGTTAATTAATTCCTTTCGAACTAGGCCACAAAGAACCTGAGATTTGCTTCCTTTTCTTGATCAGTTTTCTGGCTAATCTTACCAGTTGGAGCTTTCCCAGTTGAAGAATATTACAGAAACATCCAAAGCCTAACAGATGAATTTTTGAGCTGTATCTGTTCTCCGCTTAAGAAAGCACTAATCTTTCTGAGATGGGCTGCAATTTATTTCAATCATTCTAGCTTTCTTACCACTTCATTTTAGCTAAGATGAAAATCCAGCTTTTTTCATATGCAAATGGAAATAACTGCTCTATAAGGTCTTGAAGAATCCTTTCCTTTAGATTTTAACTACCTGGTCCAAGTTTCTGTTTTAAGCAGAAAGAATAACTTAAGGCTGCCAGCTACACAGTTAGGGAAATATTTAATTAGATTCTTTTTAATAGCTGTTTTTGAGACCACATTAAAGCATTTTAACAACCTTTGTTGCCTCAGAATGACCTTTTAATGTGCAATGTTTTTTTTACAATATATTTTCCTCCTTACTTTACTTTACAAAGTAATTCAATAATGTCTTGTAATCTATTGTTGGCCTCAACTCATTTTTCTTTCTGCTGAATGTCTGGGAACTCCCCATCACACATGGTTTCTGGCAATTGCAAGAGTACTGACATCATTTGCTCAACCACTAGCTGTAACGCAGAGATGTTCATCATCAGATTCCCTGTGTTGCAATCACAGATTATGGCACAACACGTCCCATCTTTAGGATCACTCTGCAGTGCAATTAGGAACATCTACAGCATTTTAAGCAGTGGCCATTTGAAAGCAAGCCTCTCCTTTCCTGCCTGGAGCAAATATGTACGATGTGTGACATCAGAAAACCTATTGTGTGTCACCAGCAGTTGTTTATAAAGAATATATTTGATCTGGAAAGAACAATGCACTCAGAAAATACAAGAAAAATGCATTCAGTGTATAGTTTATAAAACAGCTAACTTACTGATTGTGTCCATTTTAGCCTTGTACACTGATAGAAGAATTTTTTTGTGTGCAACACGATCCTACAAAACCATGGTCAAAACCATGCAGTCTTACCTTAGCATATCATGAAAAAATCCTACAAATCAAATTAATTTCTTAAATAAGAAATTCCGTTTCTAGCTAGAAGCCAGCATATTATTTAGGCCTAGTTTTGTTTGTAATCCACCAATACTAATCTAGAATAGTTCAGCTGCCAACACTGGAATTACAATGGTATAAAACTTGAGTTAGAGCAGTATTAAAACACAGACACTAAAATTTAAATCTAAACCCAAATATCCCTAAAGTGTTCTAGATGTTTGGAGACTAATGAGACTGTAGTTCATGCTAAAAATAATCAGTTCTGAGGAATCAGTTTCGCAGCCTCATCCTTTTCACCCTAAAACCTCATTTCAGTGGCTGTTTTACATAATTGAGCCGGAACTTCTGTCCTCAGTGGGATGCAGCTGTCTTGGCTCTTTATGGCGATGGGATTTTGAAGGGTTACCGGCAGAACCCCTGAGAAGATACGATGCTGAAGATCGATGTTTGTATCAAATTTTTTATTGGATTCTGTTAAAAAAACTGTATGCCACCTTGTCTCTAGACAGGATCAGGATTTCATCTGGGACTAGTGGTATAGGACAACACTCAAGAGGCACTTTTCATGTTGGAAAAGTAGTAGTTGGTGAAAAAAACAGAAGTGCAATAGGAGAACTATCCAAATACCTGCACCTTCTCAAACCAAATTGATTTACCAGGAAACAAGAGTACTGTGTTTAACATCTGCCACTAATTACAAAAATGCATTGGTGCACGGTTACTGCTATACTTGCAGTTACTCATTACAGCAGGTAATCATTCTGTTTATCAATGGTTCTGAATTCCAGTTTCCCTGGAGATAAAGCAGTGGAGAACTGGTTTATATCTCTATTCTTAGAACTGATTGCACACATTCAGTTACTGGGGGAAAATACGCTTCACTCTTATACTTCCAGTTTCGAAGTACTTGCATTTATGGGGAATTTTTCTTGACCTACTTGCTATAGCAATACAAAATGGAACTGGAAAAGTTGGTTCTGTCTAATCTTCATTTATAGCTAAGGTTTTTGTCTTTTTTAAGAGAGAAACTGCTATTTTAAATGAGTAACTCCAGGAAACTTGTATTTTCTCTGCTTTAAATAATCCGGTTCCAACTTTCTCCTATACTTGTGCTGCAAGATGAATAAGAAATCCATAGAACATTAGCTGAAAATGAAAACAAATAAAGTAATACCTCAACAGCTGCCTTTGCTCTTTCAAATTCCTCCTCCAAGGAGTGATTTCTGGAGAGAAGAGGCCCTCCCCAACGCTGCTCCTTAGTTGATCGTGCCTAAAAAATAAAAGAATAAATCAGAAAGGGATGATATAGTCTCTGCCACATTTCTGAGTTATTTCCTTAATTGCCTAGAGCCCCAAATGTCCTTTTTCTTGCACAAAACTACTTGTGTCCCTGCATGAATTCCTCTGAATTCTCTTACACTGTAGCAGAGATCATTCCTCATGGGAAGCAGAGTAATTTATCTTTTCCAGACTTTTCTTTTCACTCAGGATGCATGAAAGATAAAGAGACATCCGAGAAAAGACAATGCAAGAGTTGGGCTACAAAGGGAGGAGCTGACTATTTTGTATAAGACTTTTACCTTAATTGTTCCTACTCCTGTATTATGACTGTGGCAATGCATTCCACTCGCTATGCTCCAGGAAGAAAGCATCTCATTTTCCCTGTACGTTTTGTGTTTTTCTTTCAGGTTCTGCTTTGGGATCACATTGGAGAGCAAGGTTTGCTATGGATTTCACTGGAAGGACAAATCCTTTTTACAGTCAGCAGCTCTCTTCTGTGCCTTACTATCCAGTTGATTCGATTGGAAATACATAATGGTTTTCTCCCTATTCTTTTATTAAAAACATTTTATTTATGGGTTTTTTTGCACAAAAGGCACAGTACAAAACCAAACAGTATTCAATGATGGTACAAAAAAGCACAAAGTGGCCTAATCTTGCTAAACAGAGCTCTGACTGCTAATCCCTTCCCTTGTGTTTGTCAGAGGTTAAACTCATTAGCCATGTGCCTGACCGTGGTCCCAACTGCATTAATTTACGTGATTATATTTCTGATTACTTTACTTGTAATATTCAATTTCAATAAGCCATGTTGCTAAAAGACTAATTTTGCTCACTTCAGACTCATTGGCCTGCATCTCCAAGTGTTGGAATGTGCACTACTGGGATGAAACACCCAATAAGTTCCTGGGTGTTCATATAAGTAATGTGCAATGCATGGTCAAACACATATGTCTGTGTGTGTACACACATGGTTTTTTACCTAGAAAGATGACATTCATTTGTTAATCTAGCCCTAAAGTTTCTGTTTTGTTCCTGAGTCTTTGGTCTCTCAGGTAGAGATTGATGAGTGAAATGTATACTCGGTTCATGATACACATACGGTTAGAAAAGAACGATACAGCACCGTTTCTGTGAGAAGCGCGTGGTGGTGGGGGCACTGTGCTGGCTTCTGGACTTTGCTGCAAGTGACAGGAAGCACAGAGCGTGAGGGAAGGTCTACACTGAGGAGCTATCATTTCTGTTTTCACATCTAGTACCTGTGGTCCATGTTGTATGAAAAATATCTTTTTTCTTCGGTGCGGCCAGGAAAAGATTTCAGGTTGTCACTGAAAACATACCAAAAACCAATCCTATACACTAAACAGTCATTTTACTGATTAATAGAATTTAGGGCAGAAGAGGTAACCGGTTCTCTTTGGAATCACAGAAGAACCCCCATGTGGTTACAATTCCTAGTAAATAACTATTGTTCTTGAGAAATTAAGTTAGCCAGTTTTAATCTGTTTAACAGCTGCTTTATTCATATTGTATGGTGCTAATTTTAAAATCAGAATATGGTATGTTAATTCAAACGTCTTGCAGAATATCAGACAGCGACATTTATCAACCCGACCTGTAATCTGATCAAAGAATTAAATTTGGTTTTCTTGACACAAAACTCTGTTGATAGACATTAATTATGTTCCTAGCCTTTTCATTATTTATGAGTTGGCTCTTGCAAACCATTTGATTACTTCCACTTTTTAATCTTTTGTTTCCAGTGACTGCAGTTTCCTTAGGCCAAGGACAATACTGTAAATCACGATGTTCAGACTGAGTAGTACTGCAGAAGGGGAGAGTGGGCTTGTTGGGGCAGTAGAGAGGCGAGGGGGAAGAGGACAAGAAGCACAGAAGGCCCCTCCTCTCCCACATATCAGAGTATATACATTGTCCCTGCATAATCCCCACAGAAATAGACCTTCTCCTCCATTAAATGCATGCCTGCCCTCAAACAGAGGGAAAAAAGAATTAACAAAACCCACATAAGCTGCATTTACATATAGACAATGCAGAGTCATATTCTGAGTTGTGATACCCAGAAACGAAAGACGCCACATATAACAAACACGCTGCCTTTCGCTAGTGCAGGAAGAGAGGGGATGGGAATGGAGTGCCAGCACTGGAGAACTTCACATCTCCAGCTGGCGATGGGGTGGGACTCTGCACCTGCCTCCCTTAAGGGTAGCGCACGGTGGGGTATGGGTCAGGGTGGGCTGGGTATGTCTGAGGCATGGACACTCTGCACACACTGTGGTTTGATATGCTCACCACTCTACAATGGAGGTGCTGTAGCTGATCACTGGCTGCTGTCTTCAGGGACAAAATCTTCCATTCCAATGCATTTGCACACACTTTCCTGCACTTGTAGTCTGCTTATGTGCTGTTGGACCTTAACTGTTGGTGAGAGGCTTAACTTATAGTCTTAACTTTTGAGCAGGTTTTTAAATAATGAGCTAAATCTGTCCCTTGCAACTCTTCATTTTGTTAGAGTAACGGGCACATCCAAGGAGAGCTAGGGCCGTTAGTCTGACTGTAGCTATTTGGGAGAAGTGGGGAATAAATTTTGCATTCTAAATATTGTTGCCCCAAACTGCAGATTTCCAGGCTTTACAGGCTTTGCACTACATCTTTGTCCAAGAGTGCTGACATATTAGAATTAGGTACAGTTTTTTAGCATGTCAGGGTTTTGTGTATGCATTCTGAGTGAGCAATAAAATATCTAAAATGCCTAGGGAAGCCCAAGTTTGAAACTGCATTTAGAGAGTTAAAACATGAGCAGACTTTATGCATATACAATTGAACACATTATCTCCCTCTGCAGTTTGTAATTATAAGAGAAGAAATAAACCTTCAAAAACCCCCAAACACTGTAGGATATCTCAGTACTAATAAAAGTGTAACGAGGAACTTTCCAGCATGGCAGAGAAAAGAAAGAACAAAGATACTTCGGGCCAATGCAGTTTAAGAGTTAATAATAGGTAACGTATGATGTGAGTAGAATACTGAGAAGCAAGACGGCCATATCCCATGACAGCCACTATGCTATTGCCCGTTCCAGCCTTCAAACATATTTCTTCCTTATTAATTCAAAGCTTGCCTTTGTGATTTTGTATTGGCATAAGTGCTGGTAAACACAGGATTTTGTTAAAAAGATTGCATAATTTTAATGAAAATATGACCTAGTTACTTAGTATTTCACTTTGAGGAACTAAACCTAACTTGTCAAATATGAGTGATGAAGGTGATTGTCTGAGAAATCGCTGATGGAAAACTGCAGCAAGTTTGACAAGATGAAATCTTTAGGGTATGGCAGAATCTGTTGCATATGCAAAGGTTACCCTTAAATGAGATAGACAAGATCTGTAAAGGACAAAGTATGGAAAACATATGCTTTGATAAAAGCTCTAACGTGATTTCTTTTACAAGCAGATTAAGAACTCAGTCAAGACAGATGAGCCTGTTTGTTGGGAGCTGACAACTTTGACAGCCCAAGTATAAGCAGGATGAAGCGGGCAGGGAATGAAAATACTAAAATTCTAAGTAAACAACTTAGAATAAGAACACAATCTCACTTCAGGTCATTTCTCTGCACTACTAATTACCAGTTTTAATAACATTTCATTACTTGAATAGATCACAAGTTTGAAAAAAACCAGCTTATGATAAAACAAAACAAAACATGAAATATACCAGAACAACAGGTAAGAATTTTATACTCTGCTTCTTTTTCAAGTTGGCTGATTCAACTTCACTTTTTTTTATTTTGAAATACCAGTCATTTTACAAAATAGTATGGACCCTCAACTGGCTGAACTTATACTGAATTAAAAATGTGGATTTTTGCTTCTGCAGTTATTCTAGTGGAAGATAAACAGGAAATGGACCATATAAAGTAGAGATGTTATAAACTAAATTTGTAACTGTTTTTACAGAAAGCCACAGTACTTAAATTCTCTGACTGTCTACTTGATTTACACATAACTCTGTTGAGTACAAACTTCCTGGCATTTAGATCTATTAGGCTGAGGAACAGCGTCCTAAAAAGGGGTTAGAGGTACTTAAAGACAAGCTGGACAAAGCATGTGAAAACACAGTGTCCATCTCAAGTGGATGATATTATGCAATAGATCTTTTCCATTACTAAGATGTATAAATCTACTGCACAGAAAGGAAAGATACCATGCATTACAACTAGTGTTAGGCTTTCCAAAGGGAAAAAAAGTCCTGTTTGTAATGTAGAGATGGCAGGGAAGTAAAGGAGACTTTCTTCCTAACCAAAACACAGGAATGGATCCTGATAACTGGGTTCTATTTCTATTTTCAGCAAAAACTGGTGCATAATCTCAGGAAAGACATTTGGCATTTTAGTGTCTCATTTTTCCATTTTCAAATGAGGCTATTATTTTCCATTAATTTCCAGATTTTACATCTGACAGAAAGGTTTTGAAGTCCAGGCCTAAAAATAGCTGTGGAAGAGGAGAAAATTATTTTCAACTAAAAGTTAATCCACCAAACAACTCTCTCTCCCCCTTGCCAGTGGCATTGGCTGAACTTGAAATCTTTCAGTTAGAAAATAAGAAGGAGAGAAGGTGTATAAGCAACCTGAACTATGTGAATGCATATATAAATGTGTTTGCACATATATATGCGTACATATGTCCCTAAAACCATACAACTCTAAGTAATCATTTCCACAAGGTCCCGTCCAATATACAATATGACAGTGGAATTGGGCAAATCTACAAACCTTCAGCCCAGAGCCCTCCATATTAGAGTTCCTTTTCCAGCAGGAAAAAGTCCTTTGACCACACTGCTCTCCCACCTGTGGAGATAAACTGCTAATGAACGTTGGCCTAATGATTCCTTCCTGTATTCCTTAGCCATTTCCCAATTCTGGGGATTCCTGGTTGACCAAGAGACCTTGAGAACAGATATACTACAAGGAGAGGGAACCATTAGAAGTTTGAATTTCAGAACTGGAGGAAGGGAAAAATGATGATGCTGTAAATTGTAGTTTGAAGTCTTTCTCTCTGTACAGGAAGGTCACAGTTCACTGCAGTATGGAACTCTGAATGTTTGAGATGCTGACATAGTTAAGTTATTTTCATAACATATTAATTGGGAAGCTGTGTGAAGATTCGGCTGTATGAATCTTTTAACTGATGATCCTGAAAATATCCCTTAAATAGTTCTTCCAGAATGTGAATGGTTACCCACTGGGACAATTCCTACTTGCCTTTTTATTGTTACTAAATCTACCAAATCCTCTTACCTGTGTTGCAGGTGCAAGTTCTAATTCTGACGTTGAATCAGACTCCAAGGCACTCTTGACGTTAGTCAGCTCAGACTGTGATCTGTTTTCTGTGGACCTAGAAATAATGCATTTACATACTCACCACTGCACACTAAGACATGCTGCCTTATGTCTTTCAGGTTCATAAGCACATACTGATTAATTAGGTTATTTCTTTTAACTGAGTTGTTCAACTGGCAGTTATCAAAAGTGCCTGGACCCTTCCCAGTGTTTTCAGTGTTCACTCTTACACTTTTCAGTCGCAGGCAGACAATAGTTAATACAACAGAACAGAGTCAGGCCTGATTCCACCAGTACAGCCCTGGGTATATATTGGCATGAAACTAGTATAATGGAACGAAGACTTCGCCTCTACCACTATGCTTCTATTTCATAGCCAGGCAAAATGATGTTAGGCAATGACACAAGACTGTACCTGCGGTCAGTGTCTAAGAATCAACCACCACATTACAAGGTTTCATGTTGGCATATGTGCATTTTTGTGCCACAATACCCTAATATTCTTTCTTCCTAGAAAATGAAACCCTGTAGACCAAAAGCAAGTTAACTGAGAACTGTAAAGCTCCAAGTTAATGAAACACCCAGATAAAGGGCAGGTTAAGATACAGGATAAGCATCATTTGGTCAGAAAACTGCTTCTAGTGTATGAAAATGCTAATTATGGTCATGCGTAATGTAGTGAATGAGTGTTGCTTACATATCAAGAAGGCAGCAGAATTAATCTACATGAACTCTTCCTAAAGGCAAAGTCCAATTTTTCCCTCATTTACGTCCCCTGCAATTTTAGTTGAACCTCACGAAAGAGGTAGTACTTGGCTTGGATATTTTATCTTGCCTCTTCCAGTTATACACAGAAATTCTGCCCTCCTGGTAGCAAAACCAAAATACACTGGATAGCCAGTCACTGTCAAATCACTGCCAAGCATCCTTTTTTACTCATTTTACTCACATGTTTGTAGTTGGTTTCAGATCACTGCATGCCTCTGTAGACTTCTCACCACCATTTATTTAGTAATTGCACCTGCTACTTTTAACAACATTAAAAATTGCTGGCAAAATGTCATTTTATAGTGCTTATGATTTTATACTTGCTTATGATACATTTTCCAAAATGTCTGCTTGAACACATTTAATGTAATCATAACAGATTTAATAATATGACTTGTCATCAAGCAAGCATTTCAGTGAATTAAGAAAGCTGGACTGGAAATATTTTTGTAAGGAAAGCAAAAAGTTGTACCACAAAAGCTCTTTTGATGGAGCTCTAGATGATGATGATGATGTTCGCTCTGTAGAAGGGTGGACCTTGCTACTCCTGTCCCCATGAAAATTGACATCATCCCATTTCTCTAGGTGTGTCTGAATATCAACTAAAAAATAAGAAAAGAAAATATGAATCTTTTAAAGAAACTACTGCAGAAAATTTTCTCTCCTCTGTTAAATGTGAGTTATAAAAATGGTGCCACCAAAGACTGTATTTTAGTTAAGGTCCAATATACAGAAATGTTGTGCACCTTTCTAGCTGATATTCTGTGAAAATATTTGGGAATTCACAATATTTTTCTAAATCTATTAGCATTCATGGTCAGAATGTCAGTGGAACTCTTGACTTAAAATCAGTGATTTGTATGTAATTTAGATCTGTGGATAAAATTATACTAACTGTTTGATAGTTTGGGATATTTTTAATTTCCTAATTGTAGTCAAATTGTAAAAATAAAACTTCTTTTACTGACTACCATTTAAAAATGACTGTGTAGGCAACTGATATTAAGTCATAATTTGGACTTGCTTTGCAAAAATGAGATGTTCAGCTCCTGTTTGAAGATAAAGTTCTCTAAAAGAATTTCTGTGCTGATGAATGGAAGATTTGCTACCTTGGAATAAATTACATTTACCTTGCAAATTTTTCAGTTGCGGTGCAAGTAATTTAGTTTGGATGGAAATAAATTAAATTCACCTTTTCCAAAGGTCATCTATAGATCATGCTGGGCAGGATATTGAGTTGTGTTTGGGATTTTTGTTCAATCTGTATAAATATAGCTCTTTTGTGAAGAATGTTTTTTTTTTTTCTCTTGTATGCATAGATAAAGCAGTATTTACAAATATAATGTGTATTTCTGACATCTGCAGTTCTGAAAAGGACATCCAGTATGGGCCGCCTCTGATTTGTGTCCTTTACCAATTTCTCATGCTCCCTCTATAGATTTTTCTACGATTTTACTCTCCCTGACTAAATTCTTTTTTGAAAGAATCCTCTCAAAACTTTATTTGCACATTTAGTGACAACTTAATAGGTATAATGGCAAAGGCAAAATGTGCTTACAGTGTTTCAAGTTTAGCATTTCAAGTAGTTTATAATGTGGAACAAAGGTTACACTCCCTGCTAAAATGCGGTGCAACAAAAATCCCTGTGTTGCTCGTTATTTTGTGGTAGTAGCAAGGAGAAACTTGTGCTAAGCAAGGCTATGTAGCACTGATATAATAGCTACACTCTTACCTAAATCTAGTGAAGACTTGTCTGAAACTCTGGCAGTCTGGACTTTCTGCTCAGTGTCCACACTGATAAGGTCAGAATTGTCTGTCTTCTTTCTGTGGGTTGAAGCTTTTAAGCCTTCACTTCTTGATGGAGTCTCTGATTTCTTTGCTTTGTTTTGGGTTTGTAAGACAGGTTCACTAAGATCCAATAGATCCAGACCTGTTGATAATACTTAGAGACAAAATGTTAGAATTCAATGTTGTTTTAATTCAAATAGCTCGCTTTTTAAAATTCGTTTTAGTTGGGAAAAAAATTATTAATGTATTTGCATTTGACTAGAGTAGGTGTATATTTCCCGGCTAAAGATAATGACCAGCATATCCAAATATGACTAGGGATTTCAGGTGCTTAACTGGATGCAGTTTAAAAACGCTTGATTTGCATAAAAGGCTTTTCCTCTGAAAATCTCAAAGACATCTTAGGTCTTAAGGCTCTGGCCCCACCCCGCAGATTTTCTTATGTTGTGAGGGTTCCCTGTACAACTGAGGTTTTAGATAAGATTTGGTTTAATCTTATGATTTATCAAGTACTGGTTACAGCTGCTTGGGGCACTACTGTTGTGCCACATGCCATTATGGAAAAAGCTGAAGAGTAGACAGCTTCTTGGGTGGACTTCTTGGGTCATAAAGGAATAACGGTATGTTTAGTGATGGTTTCTACTGTTGTTGCTGTTCGTCTTTTGGGGGATAAATATTGAATATATTTATAAATGCTACTGCTATTTCTATTAAGGACTATATCAGTATAAAAGGCATGTTCAGTCTGAGTTCTTCATTTAAAAGTTGCCTAAAGAGTAACATTTAAAATTCTTTAGCACATAAAAGATAGAAAAACTCCCTCTTTATCATCGTTTTATAGGGCAGGTGTTTTTGACAGATCAATTTGTATTATCTCTTGCACTGCTTTATCTGTGTTCTTGGCAAATCACTGAATTTCATCAATCTTCATAGAATTTTTAATTTTGTTATTAAATAAATCTGATTAAACCCCCCCCCCAATCTGATAGATATTCAAGGCAGATATAGGATCTACAGATACTTACTTTTTTACCACAAACACCACTCTTAAACAACCTGAAATATTTCTATTCATCCCTGTAATATCTTTAGCTATATATAAAAGGAAAAAATATTATTTACAATTGTTATTTAATTCAGTGTTCCTGTTTTTGTTATTAGAACTTGCATACTGCTTTAGACACATATTAATTAGTTGTGAAGATAATCACCCAGCTGTCAATTAGTCATTTTAATAATTTGCATGTATATAGATTTTAACTAAATGGCTTCTAACAAGCCAAGTAATTTTATGAGACAGCAATAGAACATAGTAGTGCTATGCTGATTTTATTGTATCTCAGTTGATCTGCTCAACCTCTTTGATTACCTTTGCACAAATACTGAATAGGAGGAGGCCAATTTCTAAAAACACTTCCAAAGGACAATATACTTCAAACATAATTCAATATAATTCAAAAGGCTTTCAGGATTCACTCTTACTTTTTATTATCTGCTCTACTATCTCAGTGCAACACAAAGGAGCTAAGAAACGTGTGTTGGATCCTTTCACTAATAAAGTGTCTGAACTCAGCCTGGATAAGCTGGTTTGCTCTCTCTTCCCTTTTCTCTGACATCCATCCAAGTTTTTATTAAAGAAAATCTTTCTAGTGTAAGGAATGGATTTGGTTAAAACCAGACTAAATGTTGCTTACCCATAGGTTAAAATTTTGCAAAAACAAAGATTGAGAATTGGTCAAACTGATATGTACTTCCTGTTGAACTTAAACAAGTTCCCTTTAATTCAGCCCCAGAGATCTGCTAGAATACATGTGATTTGGATCACATCAGATTTGCCCTCAAATGTAATGAACAAAGTTTTTTCCACTAATAGATCAGGCAATTATAATTTAATACCAGCTTGTAATTTTGTGCAAATAGTAACAAATTGAGAAATCACTTGACAAAAATGTACCATAATTAAGATAAAACTAAAATTATTTCTCTCTAATGAGGGATAGTAAAAAAATTTGTTTACCTGCAGTATTTGATGTTACAGGCCTTGCAACAGCTTCTGGTTTGGTTTCACAGAGAAAATCATCAATGGAGGGGCTCAGAAGGGGTCTGCTTTCTTGTTGCTCATTCACCAGCTAGCAACAAAAAAACCGGGGTCACAGAGTGTTGTTGGGATGCAGAATTTAAACAAATAAAACATATTCTCACAATATCATGCGCTTTATTTTTGATTGTGAAAGTAAGAGATTGCAATCAGAAGATGTACAAATAGCTCTGGGCTTAAAATAAAAAACTTTAATCACTCTTTTGGGGCAAAATTATATTCCAGTTTTACTGATTGCACAAAAATAAAGCAGCAAGGTGATTTTTCCATAGCAATTATTGCATACTATTGCTTATAGGGCTAAAGTATACAAGGCCTGATGTATCTCCCTTCAAATCAATGGGTGAAGTTGGCCTTTTCTATCACCAGGAGGCTAAGCAGGGCTTTTTTAGTATTTGGAAGTGGTCATTTTTTTCACCAGTAACATGCCTCCCCACAGAACTTGCACAATACCATTTCATCTAGCAAATGTGCATTAGCCCATTAAACAATAACCTGCTGAGACAGAAAACACTTCTCTGCAATACAAAGGCATATGAGTAACAGTGGATGGAGCCTGGTGAATGTATGAACTTCCCGCATGAGTTTTGACTGTGTGAACGCTCATAATACAGTTTTTATTTATGAGCAGTTTTCCCTTTTTATTTTAATTGCATGAATGCATTGGTTTCATGCTACCTAAAAGAAATCTCTATATTACAGGCTATTTCATGTATTAGGGATTAAAAAGACAAAACAGTAAAATAGTCTCATAAATAAATAACTCTCCGCTTTGCAATCTATCTCTGATTGGAGGCTCAAGACCTAAGCTGAGCTGGATGGATGCCTGATGGTGTGGCCTGCATTTACTTCATCTTTAATAATGTGAAAACGTGTTTTCCCTCTGTCTGTTACTTTCATCTGGAGCTATTTAGCTTTACTTTTATCCTCTCTGCTCTCCTTCTCTCTGTTCTGTTCTCACCCTTTTTCCATTGTTGAATTTTCAAAACTCTCTCTCAGATATATTTGAACTTTTAAATTTAGGATGCTAACATGGAGTAAAACTGGCAAAAAAGGTATTTACTGATCCTCATTTGATATTTGTTAATTACTGGCATTTAGCTACTCCAGTAGCAGGATTGCCTCTAAAGTTATGACAGTGAAACAGCTTAGATTCACTGTTGTTTGGTACTTGATTTTTGTATTACAAGGTTGCAAGAAAACACCGGAGCTATTGAAATAAAAAGTCCATTATTTTGATGGGTCAAACATTTAAGCTGGTACCTAACGCTGACTGACTGTAGAATATGTGCACTTACTCATTTGCCCAGGACCTTACAGCTTTGCACTGAAATACCAATTTACACGATTAACATGGAAGACAGATGAGTGATTGCTTGCCCAACTGTGTGTAGCAGAACGTGCAAATGCGGGCATTTAATTTAGAAATCTGGCAATTATATTGTCCCAAACTCTAATTCTGCATATGCTAAACCCAGACTGCAGATGCACCTTACAGGTGACTTAATCATGTGGGTTTTTAACTCTCCGAATTGATTGCCCAGGTTGCCGTCTCATTCAACGCACAGAAGTTACTTGCTTAATTTTGTAAATCTCAGCACTTGATTGGAAATTGCACTTATACCAGCTGCACACCTTTGATTTCCATTAAAGGTGGCTCTACAGTACCCACATTACCTCCAGGTGTATACTTTTACCTAATACTGATATTTAAGACTTAAGAGGACCATATTTTTCTGGTTCTGATTAGGTGACAGTCCTTACTCATTTCTATAGGTGAAAAAATGAAGATGGATGCCTAGTTAATTCTTGTCCAAATTATTTTTAATGTTTAAAAAGTTTCTTTATGATCAAATCCAGATATCAGCAAAAATTGCTTGAATACATTTTTCTTTCTTCATTTACACATCCCATTCTAGTAACTAGCATCAGTAACAGCTGCTGCACTTTTGCAACAAGTTGCATATTCGGGTGTACATAGCATCCAGCAGAAAGATTGTCAAAGCCTCTGGATCAGCTGGATCTTCAATGATCTATTCTGTGATACGCTAACAGCGTAAAGAAAAATCCTACACCATTCAGAGGGGGACAGGAGGGAAGAAAGAAGAGGTTCCATAGGAATCACTGTAAATGTAAAAACTTCATAGGAAATATTCTGTTTCTGGATCTATAAGAGTGTATCAATAGGGTACATTATCACGTAAGATTTGGATGCTTATCAAGTTTCCCATTACATTCCATGGAAATTTTCTTTAATAGGAAAGAATGGGAGAAGGAGGGAATGAAGAAGGATCATGAGAACGAAGACAGCCAAGATCACTCACTGGAGACAGTGAAGAATAGAAAATCTGAAGACCAACTGGAAAGACAAATTATTGACAAACCTGTTGTGGGGTAAGAGAATAAGCTCTGGGAAGAGCAGCAGTAATGCTGAGAATCAGAATCATGGAGGGGAAGGAGACTAGAATCAACAAAGATCTGAACTTCTCCAGGGTTCAAGTGAAGTATGAAGTAGCAGATGTGTGGCAAATATTTTTTTCTTTTCAAAGCTGGTTATCACATCCCTAGACATTTCTTTATTACGTTGTTTATATAAGGAAGACCTGCTCAGCAACAGGCCTTCATTAGTTTGATACCAGCAGTGTATTGTTCAAAGTCCCTTGAAAAAATTCTACCATCGAACTGAAAGAAGATTGGTGGTAATATCCACTTCATCAATTTTGCCAGCAAACACCAAGATTTAATTTTTACTAAGTTGTGTCTTCTTTCTGCTGCATTTGCAGCATTTTTGTTTAATTAGAAAACAAATAGATTCATCTTCTCTGACTCTTACTTTGTAAACATATACACTAAATTCATCAGAGATGGGCCACCCAAATGATCAGAGGAATAAAGAATGCATTTTACAGGGAGACTAAAAGAGTTTGACTTGCTTAGGCTAACAAAATGAAGATTGAGTAGGAATATAATTATTCTTCATGTATACATAAAGGGAGAGTGGTTAGATGACATTGGAGGAGGGAAGTTATTTCAGCTATAGAGAAAGGCTGGCACGACAACAGAGATCTAAACTGGCCATGCATGTATCTGGTCTGGGAATTAAAACAATCTAACCATCACAGCAGTGAAGTGTATGAACAGTATTTTTTTAGGGTAAGGGGAGAAAAAGCCTAACTATTTAAAATGGCTTTTGACAAGCTTTCTACATGGTTGTTTATGATGTGATTGCTTTTGAGAAGTGGACTGTGGCCCAGAGGATCCCTCCCAGTCCTGTGTCCTATGCTCCCATGACTAAGGACTGGAAGCTGTAGGAGTGTCTTATTAAAAGGACTGTTCCTGTGAAAAATAATCTGCTTTCAACTGAAATATCTGGGTCAAAACCGAGAGCAAATACATGATCAAGTCTATTAATTCTCAATAAATACAAACTACATATGTGTAGCAATAGAATGTATTAGAAAAATATGGTTTTGTTGTGAGGCAGGCATGTCACGATGAATCAAACCGTAACAGGTTAAAGAGTGCCATGAGCTGATATTTTTTCCATAGGTAAGTGGGCAGTGGGGTAGGTTTCTGACATTACTGTGTATGCAATGCCACTTGCTAAGCCCTCGGTCTCACACTTTGGATTTCATTTTGCTGCCTCATATATTGTACCAAATTTTTCCCTAGTTTAAATCTGCTCAAGTTATTAGAGTTATATCAGGCATGAATTTGGAGTAGTGCTATAAAGCATTCATGAGATGAAAACTATTATCTATATTAAAGTAATAATTTATGGTTCTCAAGCACCTTTCAGGGTGAATATCACAGAATGCTTTAAAACATTCATGAATCAAGCCTGGCACCACCGCAGAGCTGAGAAGTATTATCTCTATGTTGCAGATGAGAGAAGCAAAGCGAAATTAAGAAAGCCGCCCAACGTCACCCAGCGCTGGCGGAAGCGGCGCTGGGAGCAGGAACCAGGCGGCTGGCGCTGCACCGCCACACAGTATTTATGTGTGCAATATTTGTACACATGCCAAGCTGTATAGACTCAGCCTGTGAAACTGTTGATTTCTGAGTACTAATTTAACCAGTGAGTGCCATAAATTCTCATAATGTCTCTAAGAACTTAATTTTTCTTTATAAAATCTATTTTAATTAAAGAAAAACCCCACACGCTCCTTTAACTGAAGGATGGCTAAAATCTGTGGAGGGTGATACTCCCTATTACTAATAAATCTGAAGAGACTTATCGATAGTATTAAATACTCCTAAATGCAAATGAATTTTCTGTGACTGACTTCTGCTGTTGGACAGCACCGCAGAAAAAAGTGCTTTTTCTCACCCCAATACTGCTATTGGACTTTTTTGTTCCAAAAAGCGTATCTGTGGGTTTTTTTCATGCTGCGGGGGAGAGTCAAAAGTGTCATCTGATGGCTGATATTAGCCCCACTGCTTAAATATACTCAAAGGAAGGATTATTTAGCAGAGATCTGAGACAAGGCGCAGCGGCCAGGTTGGGCAGTGGCAGGTGCTACGCTGGAAGCCATGCCTGCCATGTTTTCCCTCAGTGCCCTGGGCTGCAGGACTACCCAGCCTGCACTGAGGAGAATCACCTGGTCTCCATTTTCTGTGCCCTGTCACCTGCCCCATCTCTAGCTGTCTGCATTTATTCAGCTGATGTAGTTTATTACTTGCAGCTGCCTTTGCTGACGAATTTTCCTTTCCCCAGTACTCTGGTTTGGCTAGTGGTCTCCATGCTGCCTCTAGAGCTGCTGTGAGATGAGGAGGAGGCGGCAGCAGCTCATGGCAGTTCCCTCTCTGTGTGATCCTCAGGCCTGAAAGGTAAGTGGGAGCCCAATTAATGGTGCTGGTTTGGGGTAAAAAATATCAAACCCTAGGTGGGCCTGGGCATGGGTGTGCTGGGGCGGGAGGGGAGACACTGCTGTGGAAGAGGTGTGGTGCTGGCCCCCTGAAAGGGAGCAGTGGCCATGAGAGGGATTCCTTCCCTCTAGCTAATATACAGCCTGGCCTCGGCTTGCCGCA